GAAATAACATTGATCAGGTAGTGAGTTATACCTACAAGATGGAAAAACACATCACTGGGAACATGGGATCTGGGCTGCAAAGGAGAAACTGACATCACGGGGAGTCATTCATTGTTTTCAACTTCCACAGCCTTTGCTTGCTTGCTGATCTGTGTTGCTTCCAGGTCTTGCCTCTCCCATTCCTCCTCTTTGATAACATCTCCTATATACTCTTCTCTAAGATGGTAGTTTTCAAGATATGGCCCAAATTCTTGGTCCTTATCTTAGTCCTATTGAATCAGAAACTTTGCAGAAAAACTCAGAAATCTGTTTTATAAGCTTTCCTCCTGCCCAGCTAGTTCTGTTCCATGTTAAAATTTCAGAATCTCTGCCCTAAGCTGTTGGCTAATCATGTCTTCTTAGCATGGAGTTTTGATTGTTCACCTAAATCACCCCAACTATCTTGAGTCCTATGGCTTGAACTCAGGAAAAACTGCAACATAACTGGAGACATATCATAGAAGTCATATGACTTCTAGCATTCATTATTTTTAGCATTTATTTATTTCTAGCATTCATAATATTTTTCCAGGGTGTCCTTAAAGCATTTTTCATAGGCAAATTTTGTAGAGAAAATTTTGTATTTGAACATTACAGTTATGATAAAGACGACTGCATAGAAGACGAAGAATAAAGTATACCCTATTAATATGTTCAAATTTTTCAAAACTCAATTTAATTATGAGCTTGGGGCACAGATGGGATCTGGGGGAAGCTCTTCAACACAACATACTTGCCATCAAAGATTTGGCTATGACATCAGTCCAAGAAAATTCCCAGTACTATTATCTTCAGTCTTACCACATATAATTAAAATAGACTTTACTAATGTATTAAGATACTTTTCAAGAATGTACCTCTAACTTCTAGATTCTAGATTTACCTAAGTTTAATTAATTTGTGTGTGTATATATATGTACTTGTGTGTATTTATAAAACTTAAAATAATGATTTCAATACCATGTGAGATATTATACACTCTGGGATTTTTACTTTTATTTTGTTTTAAAAAATGTATCAGGGATTTGGGCATTTCATTTAAATAATTTTCTTGTTTCTTTTTTGAGTAGAAACTTTTGTATTGCTAAAATTTGTGATAAATGTATTGCTAAAATGTTCTGAAATACATTTTTTGCTGGTTATGAGAATTGAAACTAGCATCCTGCATGGTAGGCAAGTGATCTACCACTGAACTATACTCTCAGTTATGTAATTTCTTTAATCACAGACCCAAAGGACAATCAAGTCCACATATAAAATTTTCCCATTAAATGAAAAATCCTATTTTAGCTATTTATTAGAAAAAAATTCCTGGATACATCTTAGGTATATGAACAATTGTTGAGATAAAATGATTCACTGTGTCATCATGTACTCAATCTTTGACTTGTCTGAATAAAGACACTTTGTCAATCCTTGGTCTGGGCAGTTGAAATCCTTGAACCTGAAGTTCAAGGTAATCCTTGTTCTTTCTTGGATTCTGGCTTGCAGTTTGTATGTATGAACAATGGAATTTAGCAGTATTTAGAGCTACTAAATATGTACCCTGGTACAGATTCAGATATAGAAATATTAATTCTGTTGTAAGTAAGTGTTGCATTCTCTACATATTTCCACAGCAGAAATATTTCCAGTATCATCTGTTTCACAGTTTTCAGGCTATATCTCCTCTTCAATGTGTGGCTCTAAAATGTATCAGAATATTTGGAACACTTATTAAAACCAATTGCTGAGCTCCACCTCCAGAATTACTGATTCCATAGGTGCAGGGTAGAGGTACTTACATTCCCAAAACGGGTATTTATATCCAAGGATGCTCATACTGATATTCTAGGCAGAATCCATTTTGAGAATACAAAGACTCATATCCTTGAATCAGAATCACCTCGACTGCCTAGCTAGTAGAACCTGTATTTGTAGAATCTGGACCTCCAGGGTATTGTGTCCATGATTTTTAGTGGGACAGATGCCCACTCATCTGAGAAGCAGTGAGAATGGTGGTGCAGGGATATTGTTAGTCTGAGAAAACATTAAACAAATTTCCCATCAAATAATACCAATTTTATACTAGCTATTTGGCATATATAAGTTGCTTTATACAAAGTAATTGAATCATTGATAATGAATGAATGTAAGCACTTAATGGCTACTTCCTATTTATACCCAGCATCTTTTCTTTATTTTACTACAGAATATATATCATCCATATTTTCACTACTTGCTTGCTTGTCTGTCTCCATGCTTGACAGAGATCTTATCCTATTTTCATTTATCTTCAGTGCCAGATCCAGTATCTGGCACATAATGTGCATAACATCAGAATTTGTTGGGTTAAACAGTTGTAAATGTTAAATAGAATATCTGTTAGAGTAAGCTTGAAGAAATAGCATTGAACTCTCTTGATTTCTTTGAATAAGTATAAAAGTGTTAGAAGAGGAACACCAGTAGGTTGGTTCAAATGCAATATGATGACTAAGACCATAGCTAGAAAAGCTGCAACCAAGTCCCAAAGTGGAGGATGGTACCAAGATATAGCATTAAGACAGGAGGTGGAACATAAAGATCGTGGTGTGTGATTAGCACATCACAATTGCAGCCCATTCAGAAAAGCCACTCTTCAACAGAGTAGGGAATACGTGGAGGAAAAGAAAAGGGATGTTTTGATGAGGCTGATATGTGGTAAGGATTTTGTGGATGACCAGAATATTAAGGACTGTAAAAATGCGTCAGGACATGACAAATGGTAAGTTAGTCACTTCTTGTATCCCACATTAAGTTTGGCAGGCAGGTGACAGCATTTGATATTCTAGGTCCAGTTGCTTTTTATCTTAGGAATGAAGTAGGATTTTAATCAGACTCATCTACTCCTGCCAACAAGCCTAGAGTAGAAATGGACCATGGTGTGGAGAGCAGTTCCTGGTACTGGGGTTGAAATTGAGGATTGTTTAAATACTGATGTACTTGTTTCTACTGTTGTCCACACCAATTGTATAAATTCTAAACCCTGTTGTTGTCTCCTTGAATAGGCTTGCTTTGCCCTGATTTTTAATAGTCTTTTTATATTTCCTGTTCCATGCTCCATAGACTGCCTTCCTGATCTCAGGTCTTTTGTTGTTGCATTTTTTGAATTACCCAAATTTTCAGCTTTCTGTACAAACATAGGTTTCTAATCTGTAGTTCACTTTATTCTTTGAGGCCTGTGTGCATTTGAACTGAATGTTGTTATCATGTCTCACCCAATCATAGCTGGTGTTATACTTTCACCTCTGCCTCACCTATATGAAGTTTTAAGATTCTCACACTGAAATTATAGATTTTACTACCCATGTTCAAATGGTCCCACTGGATTCTCCTCATTTACTTATCAGTGCTATGCTCTTTCCAAGGAGATCAGGTGAAAATTAGATAGTACTTCTATTGAAGATTTTTTATTTAGAGATGAAATGACAAAACTTTCCAAGAAAAATGATATCATGACTAACCTGGAAATTCAGAGCCTCATGAGATTTAAAATATTCTTTCAAATAATATAAGAATTAGATTTTCAGAAAAGTTAGCATATGTTAAAAACACACAAAATTCTTTGGTTGGTAGGTTTTTCAGTAAAGATTTGGCAGGACCTTCAAAAATTGTGAGACGTGTGTGAAGTTATTTACTGTGTGGGAATGTTCCACTCATTGAAGGCCAACCAGCATTTTTTGACAAGGCAAATAAATATAAGCCATATTTCCTATCATTCTAAAACATGCAACAAATCGCCCAAATGTCCCCAATGTGTTAATGCCAACTCTATAATGAGAATCAATGACTTATTCAAGTTTTCAATTGCTAGGGTTGGGCAGGACTCACAGAAAATGTGGAAGTTTAAAACCTAAACAAAATCAGTAAGAAGAAGGGGTAACTATTGTGTAGGCATTCAGCAGTGTGTACCACAGGAGACAGGTTGGTTGATAGTCTGTGAGGTTCCTTTTAGATCTACAATCCATACTATTTACTCCTAAAGTACAATATAAGAGCATGTGTGAGTAGTTAATAGTCATGGGTAATGAGTCTTTAGATTATATAAAGAGGAATAATTATCTATATAGTGATTCAAGACAAATTCTTCAATTACTGAATAGAATTGATACATGAACTTCTCTTAAAAATAAACAGAGGGCTGGGGTTGTGGCTTAGCCATAGAGCACTCACCTAGTACTTGAGAAGCCCTGGGTTCGATCCTCAGCACCACATAAAAATAAATAAAAATAAAAGGTATTGTGTCCACCTACAACTAAAAAATAATATTTAAAAAAAAAGATAAACAGAAAAGGCAATAACTGAGAAATTTAAAATCTAAACTTCCAAAAAATAAAGTGTTATGTGGTATCTTAGAATAAGGTTAATTTGAACTAACTCTTTGCTTAATGAAGGACAATGTCATTCTTGGTAGTAATGAGAACAAATGAAGTCAAGACAGTTTAATTCAAATTTATCTAATTAAAATAATTAGAGCTACACATCGGTTTGTATCTCAGTTATTTCTGAGAATATTTTGTGGATATATTCTTTTGTTCTTTCTCAAATGACTATTATAATAGACATATTATCAGTGATCACCATCTTATTAACTTGAATCCTCAACTATCTAATATAGTCCTAGAGACCAGTAAATGTTCAATATGTGCTTGCGTCATAAATTAATCGTTTCAATGAAAGACTTTAGAAAAGAATATGTGAATTAAACCTAAGTCTATTTCATTTTAAATAGTTTTTATGTTAAAATTATTTGCATTATAAAGCTCTTTTATACCAGATAATCTTGCAGGAGCTAATACACATTTTTTTTTTTCTATGTGAATTATCTGAACTAGATGACAGATGGCTAAGTATCAGTAATCATTAAAAAAACAACAGGATTTTCTGCATCTATTATCACTCTACTTATTTCCTACTCTCATGTTTTTGTTGTTCTAAAACAGGGATTTGATAAACAAGTGGATGTGTCATATATTGCCAAACATTACAACATGAGCAAAAGCAAAGTGGACAACCAATTCTACAGTGTGGAAGTGGGAGACTCAACCTTCACAGTTCTCAAGCGCTACCAGAATCTAAAGCCTATTGGCTCTGGGGCTCAGGGAATAGTTTGGTAAGTGGAATGAATTTAAGTCATGCTTTCAAAGGGAAAATGCTGTGTGTGTGTGTGTGCATCTACTGGATGCAAATGCACAAGTAAAACGTGAATAAATAAATAACATGACTTTACAGGGAAAATACATTCCACTGAATAAAAATAAAATTATGAGTATCATTTGTCACTCATTGCCCACATGCTAACAATTTGTACAACTTGACTTGTGACATGTTTTTTGTTTTTTTTTTTTTGGTCACCAGAAAAAAAAAATCCATTACACAACACCATAAGGAAATCAAAAGACCCAGAGGTTTCTACTTGTTGCTAATGTATTTAGAATTTTTTATTTGTATATTTCACAGGAAGAAATGAAAAGCTGTCTCAAGATAACAGTAAATAAATCCCCCTATATTATGTGCGAGGGGTAAATGATGACTCAAATGTTCTTGTGACTTTTAAAGTTCAATGTTTAAAATTTAGCTACCTATCTAAAAAAAAAAGTTGTACTAAAAAATTTGCCTAATGTTTCCAAATGGAAAGATTCTAGGCTCCTTACAATCATTCTTTTATAACATTTTTAGTGGCTACTTGAAGTCATGACAAATCTAAATCTGATTTAGCGATTATAAAATGCTTATAAAAGTAATGATATCAGGTTAATTGATAAGCATTTTTTAGATTGTTTAAATATATTATGTGATATCTATCTATCTATACACACACACACACACACATATATATATATATGTATTAGAGGGTTAGTAGAGATTGAACCCAGGGGTACTTAACCACTGAGCCACATCCCCAGTCTTATTTTGTATTTTATTTAGAGACAGGGTCTCACTGAGTTGCTTAGTGCCTTGCTTTTTCTGATGCTGGCTTTGAACTCACAATCCTCTGCCTCAGGCCCCTGAGCCACTGGGATGACAGAAGTGTGTGCACCACTGTGCCTGACACAAAATATATTTAGTATGAATAATGCTAAATATAATGATAATAATGTTCAACCATTTTGAAGGTTCATATTAATATGTAAAAATTGAGAAAATATGCCCTACATATTTATATGCTTATAAATGATATTTATGTAATATATTTATAATATTAATTACTTCTAAGTTAATTATTAGGTCTAATTAAAAGCACAAAAACTTTGATGGGGTGAATAGGATGATGATGAAATAAACATTTAAAAATATTTTTATTTTATGCTTCCGTTTTACTCATATAAAATATTAGTTATTTTAATGATAGCAATGAATACTTTTCAATATTTTTCAAAACTGCATTTTAAATTTCATGAAAGTTTGAAAATTTGATTTGCTTTTTTTTGGGCAACAGTTTATTTTCAATATCAATGCTTGGTTGATGTGAATGCAGAAGTGCACTGCTAGTGTACTTACTAAATCCTAACATTAAAATTTAAGGCTAATTTAACAAATATACCAAGGGTATTATTGAAATTCACCTAGTAAATTACTAACTTCCTACTATCAAACAGTAGTTAATTTTGCAATGTGAAAGGTAGAACATTTTAGTGTTTTTAAAAATGGATCAAACCTTTCATTTCAAGGATATTAAAATAGGTAAACATGTAAATACATTTTTATTTTCAGTAATTATTTACGTATTCTTATTGTTCAGGTATGAGATAACATCTTGTGGTTCAAAATATATTCATGGTATGGTAGGCAAAATAATGGTTACCCCAAAGAGCATACATAGGTCCTAAGCCCCAGAATCCTTGATTAGGTTACCAGGTATAGTAAAAGGGGCATGACAGATGTGATTAAGATTAAGGACCTTAAAATTGGGAGATTATTTTGGAATATCCAGGTTGTATCAATATAATAACATGAATCCTCAAAAGCAAAGCCAAAGAATGGATCAAAGAGATACAACAGGAGCAGATGGAGAAGAGGTTTGAAACATGAGAGAGACTTGCCTTGTTTCTGGCTTTGAAGATGGAGGAAATGGGACCATGAGCCAAAACATATGGTTGGCTAATAGAAGCTGGAAATGATTATCAGGTAGCTATCAGCAAGAAAATGGAAAACTTAGTCCTACAATGATACTGCATTGAAATCTGCCAATAGCCCAAATGAAAGGAAACAGTTTCTCCTCTAGCACCTGTAGAAATTAATTCAGCTTGCCAACATCTTGATTTTAGGCCTGTGAAACCCATATAGAGCTTTTGACCTTCAGAACTCTAAGATAATAATTTTGTGTTGTTTAAGCAATTATGTTAATGATAATGTGTTGTGGCAATAATTCTAATACACATGATATAACAAAGATTCTAATATTAAAATAAGTGATGCAAAACTCCTAACTTTACTAGGGAATGAAGAAAACTGAATGATGGTTAGCTACCTTTCTTTGATGGAAAACTGTAGAATATTGACACAAGAAAATTTTCCTGAATAGCATTCTCAGTGTAGATGTCCAAATACTTCTTGGGATAATTTCTTTTTCCTTCTAAAAAAGCTTCCATGGAAAATTAGGACTGCCAGTGAAGGGAAAGTGATAGAACTCTTAACAACTTAAAAAATAGATTCAAAACAGCATTTTGCTCAAGAAATTAACAAAATGTCACAGAAAAATTTGAAAAATCTTATACTAAAAATTTTATAGTATGTTTTATGGGATATTTAGGGCTTCTATTTCTCCTTTTTTATGGGATGAAAATAATTCTTGGTCTTTGGTATAATAACTGAAAACATCTGTTAATAATGAAAGTATCCCTGAATTTTTAATCTAGTTTTAGGACAAATTTATCAGCAAATTTGCAATGAAAAAAATAACTGAATTCCAAAATTTTTACCTGTAAGATTTCTGAAATGATTAGTCCTTGATGAGGGAAACATAATCATATTCAGGCTGGCAAAGAGAAAGATGAAAGGCAGAATGGAATTTCTCACTTTCTACTCTATCATGTATATAGACACTACAATCAGAGGACCCTCTTCTCTGACACAGATTGGTTTGTCCTTCCTTGTTTCTTTTCTTCGACCTAGGTTTTGAGTTATCTTTGCTTTATTTATTGTAATTTAGGTCTTTAATGTATTTTTTCTCTTGTAGATCTTTTGTTCCCATATTTTTATTGGTGCATTATAATTACACACAATGCTAGGGTTGGTTTTTACATATTTGTACATGATCATGATAGAACAATATGACTTGATCAGCATCATTCCCCAATATTTCCCCTTTCCCTCCTCTTCTCCCTCCCCCTGGTCCCTTTCTTCTACTTTTCTTTATTCATTCATCTCTATTCACTTAGGTTGGCTCCATAGTTTAGCAATTGTAAGTTAAGCTGCTGTAAACATTGATGTGGCTGCATCCCTGTAGTATTATTATTTGTCGTCTTGCTCATTGCCTTTCTAACTGGAGAGAGAGAAAATTTAATGTGGTCTTGATTGACATTTCCCTCATCACAATTCTTTTTCATATATTTGTTGGTCATTTGTGTTTCTTCTTTTGAAAAATATTTGTTTCCTTCTTTCGACCATTCCCTGATTGGATGATTTGCTCTTTGTGTGTGTGTTTGGCTGGGGGTGGGGGTGATATGATCATACAATTTTTGTCTTTAATTCTGTTTATGTGGTGAATTATATTTATTGATTTGCATATGTTGAACAAACCTTGCATCTCTGGACTGGAATCTCTTGATCATTGAGTATTATCATCTTGAATTGTTTTTGAAAGTGATTTGCTAATGTTATTTTGAGGATTATTGCGTCTATGTTTATCAGGGATATTGGTCTGTAGTTTTCATTCCTTGATGTATGTTTGTCTGATTTGAATATCATAGAATATATTTGGAAGTAGTCACTCCCTTTCAATTTCATGTGAAAATCTGAGACAGACTGGTGTTATTTCTTCTTTAAAAGTCTGGCAGAACTCAGTTGAAAATTTATCTGGTCCTGATATTTTCTTTGTGGAAGGTTTTTAATTGCTGTTTTGATTTTATTATTTGATATTGGTCTGTTTAGGTTTTCTTTAACTTCCTGTATTAGTTTGGGCAGGTCATAGAATTTTGTCTAGAAAATTCTAATGTTTTCTAGACATTCCATTTTTAAAATATAAATTTTCAAAATGGTTTCTAATGATTCTCCAATTGTTAGCAGTGTCTGAATGGTATCTCCCTTTTCACCTCTGATTTTGTTTATATGAATCCTCTCTTTCTTTTGCTTAGTTTGGTTAAGGATTTATTAATTTCATTTCTTTTTGAAGGATCTTTTTTGTTTTATTGATACTTTGTGTTGGTTTTTATTCTCAATAGCATTGATTTTGGCTCTGAATTAAATTATTTCCTGTCTTCTATTGATTTGGGCATTAATTAATTTTTTCTAAGACTTTGAGGTGGAGCATAAGCTTACTTATTTGGGAACTTGCTATTGTTTTATTGTAGAAATTCAATGTTATAAAGTTTCTTCTTAAAACTGCTTTCATATTGTTTTGGATACTTTGATATGTTGTATCTCTGTTCTCATTAGTTTCTAAGAATTTCTTTATTTCTCCTATCATTTCTCCTGATACATTCTTAATTTAAGTGTTGTTCAAACTATCTGGGATTTAATGCCAAAATTATTTTTTAATGTAATTAGGTACACTGATATGTAGGGCATATATATTTACTATCATTATATTTTCTTGTTGGATCATTTCCTTTACCAGTATGTAGTGACTTTCTTTGTATTATCTGATTAATTTCTATTTGAAGTCTGCTTCTTCAAATATGAGAATAGCCAGTTCTGCTGGTTTTGGGACTCCATTTGCATTGAATATTTTTCTATCCTTTTACTTTCAGCCTATGGATGTCTTTGCCTAAGAGATGAATCTTTTGCAAGCAGCATAGAGTTGGATCTTGTTTTTAAATCCATTCAGCCAATCTATATCTTTTAACTGGGTAGCTGAGACCACTACAGTTAGTGTTATTATGAAGAGATGTTTGTTATTTCCTGCCCTTTTGGTTTGTTTGCTATATTTATTTCTGTCTGGACTTTAATTTA